CAGCTCCTGCTATGTTCCCAACCTCCCCTCTTCACTCGGCCGTGGTAATCACTGCCTCAGGTTGAGCCTGTGGTATGGAGGGCAGCTTCCTGCCTTGGCCTTCACTCTGTATAGCTGCAGTTGCTATCATCCTTGGGTTTGGCAACAGGCAAACTACTTTGCAGCCCAAATGTCTGGCCATGGATGGATCAATAAGACAAAAGTCAGCCCCAGTGAGGCTTCCCCTCTCTCCCCAAGTAGCCTCACTTTGACTCCCCCCACCTCAGATACAACATAAGAACACAAGAGAAGCCAATGTTGGATCAGGCCAATGGCCCATCCAGTCCAACACTCCGTCACACAGTGGCCAAAAATACCAGGTGCCATCAGGAGGTCCAGCAGTGGGGCCAGGACACTAGGAGCCCTCCCAATTCACCTTTAATAATCAGAGAACATTGGGATGAAAGCATACCGATTTGCACTGCATCGCCAGTTTGGTGTAGTGGTTAAGTGCGTGGACACTAATCTGGGAGAACCGGATTTGATTCCCCACTCCTCCACTTGCACCTGGCTGGATGACCTTGGGCAAGCCATAACTCTGGCACAGCTGTTCTTGAAAAAGAACAGTTTCTGTCAAGAGGTCTCTCAGCACCACCTACCTCACAGGTTGTCTGTTGTGGGGAGGGGAAGGGAAAGGAGTTTGTAAGCCGCTCTGAGACACCTTTGGGTAGTGAAGGGCGGGGTATAAATCCAATCTCTTCTCTTCTATGACCCTTCCCAACCCACACCATGAATTAAAAAAAAAACCCTCGGGAACAGAGTGCTATCCACATATTTGAAATTTACAGTCTTGCTAGCTATGCTTAAAAAGAAGGAGACAGTTTATGCGGGGACTGGTCCTGTCCTGGCAGTATTGCAGTTCTGCTTTCCAACATCTGAGGAACTCTACGTATTTGCAAACAAGAGAGTTTCCCCCCAATAAAACTCACTGCTGTGATTTTGCAGATATTTCTTTAAATAAATATATTAGTGGTTCTCCCGTTATCATAGAGAAAGCCTGTTTTCATACAAAAAGGGATACTGAGTCCACATGAAATTCCTTGTAAGTTTAAGTAAACCTTCCCCCACTTGAAGAGTAGAAGAAGAGTGAGTTTTTATATCCCATTTTTCTGTACCTGAGTCTCAGTGGTTTACAATCGCCTTTCCTCTTTCCACAACAGTCACCTTATGAGGTAGGTGGGACTGAGAGAGTTCTGAGAGAACTGTGCGTGGCCCAAGGTCACCCAGCAAGTATTATGTGGGAGAGCAAGGAATCAAACCCAGTTCTCCAGATTAGAGTCCACTGCTCTTAAACATATAATATATACCACCAACACAAACAACAACACTGTATTACAAAATTAAATATTCATCATACAATGGTGTTAATCAGAGTTGTTTTGTGCATGAATCTGTGTTCATTCCAGCTTTCCTTCTGCCCTTCTCTCTGCAGTTTCTCTTACTGCCCAAGCTCCTTGGGGAAGCAACCTGACAATATGTTTTTCTGCTGATTTTTACATTGCAAATCACAATGTACATTTATTTTGCAATAATAATAGCTTTTCATGTGCTTATGAGATAGTAGGCTTATTTACATATAAAAACAAGGGAAGTCTGCACATAAATACACAATCTGCAAATACTTTTTTAAAAAAGAAAGCTAATTCTTTTGATTGTTAACTGTGTTAATGTGTCAAGTTTTGGTTGACACATGGACACACACTGAACAGAACAACGGCCAAAGGCAGTATGGTTATATACAGCTATACAGTGATCATCTTTCAGGGGTGTGGGTTCCTTATTGTTTGGAGCTACACTACTTGTTTGAATCACACACAAGCTGCCTGGTCTGGAACAGATATGTTATACTTCTATTTACATAACTGTTATTTAGACCATTGAAGAAGGCCTTCTGGGCCAAAACATGTTTGGTCTAATGGTTATTTTGTGTAACCAATGTTTTGGTCTTAGTTACTGTACGCACAACTCACATGTGTTGCTGTATGCTATGTGGATGCAATGTGATGCCTACTACCTCATGGTTTTTAATCTATATTTTTAATACAGATTTACTGTGCACTTTGTAATAGATGTATTTTATTGTTTTGTTTAGTTGCTCAACCTTCTAGGTTCCTGACTTGCGACTTGCCCTTCTGCAGTTGGGCCCCCCCCCCCCCCGGCTGTTTCTGAGGCATTCCAGGAAGTCTGTGGGCTTAGACTGGAGTACTCTGCCTAGGACTGCACTGTCAGAAAGGATTCTGCCTCCCCCAGCCTCTTTCTGACTTGTCAAGCCAGTCCTATGCTTGTTTACTGGGAAGTAAACTAAGCCTGGAAAGGCTTGTTCTCTAGTAAGCATGCATAGAACTGCAGTCTAGAGCTTTTTATTAGCTAAGCTTATTAGTATTAAGTAAAAAATTGAAAGGGAAGCCTAACTGGTTGCATTATCTAGCAGATGGAGAAGTGAGTGTTTCCCTTCCCACCTCAGCCACAATGTTATTTTCCTAGGTTGGAGGAAGATCTGAAATTGAACAGCTTACACACCTCAATATTTTCAGAAACAAATTTCACTATGCAATATGGGGGAACCCTAGCAATGGGAGGGGGGTCTAGTGATGTCCTGGGGCAGGATAAAATGAATCTGGCTCCTCAATTTTTGTTCTGGGCCCAAGATTTATCAAGGCCTGTTGTAAGGGCTAACAAATTCATGAGGGCATTAACTGTTATGACCACAGCCCTCTTTGAAAGATGCCTACTACTTATTTCCAAACAGATGTGAGCTTCCAAGGAACTTTTATAGCAGCCCCTATCCATATTCATTCAGAAGGAAGGAAGCACCATTTAATTCAATGGGTCTAACTCCCAATCAATAAAGCAATTGCTGCAGAACCAGGAAGCCCCCAGTTTAACTCTCAAACACACCATTTATTCATTTCAGGAGTATTTTAGCTTCTCTTTCACTCATAAAGGACTCAAGGCAACTATTAGTGGCAACAGATAAGAAACACCCTAAGCGAGAGACAGTGTGGTGTAGTGGCTACAGTGTTGGAATAGGATCTGGGAGGCCAGCGTTTGAATCCCCCTTCTGTCAAGGACGCTTGTTGGGTGACCTTGGACTGTTTCTCTGAGCCTAACCTTCTCCAGGTGGTTGTCCTGAAGATAAATAGAGGAGAGAGGAAACGATACTGTAAGCCACTTTGTCCATGACTTGGACAGCCCAGGCTTGCCTGATCTTGGAGGCTAAGCAGGATCAGCCCTGGTTAGTATTTGAATGGAATGCCCCCTCTAAGCTGTGGAGTCTTGTGAGCAAAAATTCTACTTTGTGAGCTACTGACACTAAAGTTGTGAGCGAGCGATTTGGCTACTGCATCAAATAGTTTGTTCTGGAGCCATCCTTCCTGAGCGAAGACAAAAATGTGTGAGCCAGAGCCTTAAAAAACTGTGAACTAGCACACACTAAACTCAGCTTAGAGGGAACACTGAAGACCACCAAGAAAGTCCAGGGTTGCTACTCAGAAGTAGGCAATAGCAAACCCCCACCTGTGTCCGCCTCTTGCCTGGAAACTCCTACGGGGTTGCCATAAGTCGACCGCAACTTGACAGCACTTTCCGCTTCCAAGCCGCGTTGGGTCCTCATTGGCAAGGAGGAAACTCAAACGCGCAACGCCAGATGTGCAACATTATTCTTCTTGGGTGCCTGAAAGCTTGCTAGCTTAAACCCCCACCCCGGACTCGGGGGGGCCACCTCACCTGCTTCCTCCAGAGCCCCCCGGGCTGCAGAAAGCGCTCCCAGAAGCCCTCCACCAGCCCGGGCTTGCGTGGGGGCAGGACCGGCTCGCGCGGGCTCAGCTCCTGGTCCTTCAGCCAACGGCGCCGCAGCTCGCGCAGCTGCTGCAGTCGGAGCTTCTCGTCCGGCGTATAGCCCAGCACCGCTCTAGGCGGCCCGCGCGCCACCTCCGAGCCCGGCGACATCTTCGCTGCCCTCCTCTCTCCCTCTCTCTCTCACTCACTCTTAGCCCCTCCCACCAGTCGGAAACACGACCTTGCCGGACTGGGACACCGCTAGGAGACCGGAAGCGACCTCGCCGTGGCGTCATAGGCCGAGCCCTTAGAGGTAAGGGAAAAAGACAGAGGGTGACACATAGACTTCCGGTTAAAATCATGGTCGGAAGCCGCTATTCCACTCTTTGGCCACAGAGTGGCGTCGTTCAATAAGTCTTGAAATCCTCTATCCTTTGCATTGAAAGTTCGAGTGGAAATCTGGATTCTTGTCTACGCTTGAATGAGAAATGGGCTGGTGTATGGCTCGCGTATTTTTCTGTCTCTGTTACAAAAATCCTGAGTTCATCACAGACCTATTCCTTGACTCGCTTTCTACCCCCAGAGGTTAGCTATTTCAAAAAGCACAATCCCCCCCCCTTTACTGATTATTTCTCACAATGGCTCCACCTGCTGTTAGGAAGTAATAAGATGGGGTTGCCTGCCCTCAGTGTCTATAGGTGAGCAAAAAATTTTCTCTAATAAATTACTGTAAGAAAAAGAATGGGGAAATCGTACAAAGCAAAAACCAGGAAACAACCCACGTTTCCTAATCTCATTGTAGCTTTACTTTCTGCTCCTGTATCTGGAATCATCAACAGTGTGTATTTAATAATTTTTGTGTTGCTGCTTTCATTGCTTTTAAAAAATAAATTTTGGTTTTATTGTGTAACTAGGAAATGGCCCGTTGTGGAAATAAATACAATTGCATTATCTAGCAGATGGAGAAGTGAGTGCTTCCCTTCCCACCTCAGCCACAATGTTCTTTTCCTAGGTTGGAGGAAGATCTGAAAATGAACAACTTACACACCTCAGTACTTTCAGAAACAAATTTCACCATGCAATATGGAGGAACCCTAGCAATAGGAGGGGGGTCTAGTGATGTCCTGGGGCAGGATAAAATGAATCTGGCTCCTCAATTTTTGTTCTGGGCCCAAGATTTATCAAGGCCTGTTGTAAGGGCTAACAAATTCATGAGGGCATTAACTGTTATGACCACAGCCCTCTTTGAAAGATGCCTACTACTTATTTCCAAACAGATGTGAGCTTCCAAGGAACTTTTATAGCAGCTCCTATCCATATTTATTCAGAAGGAAGGAAGCACCATTTAATTCAATGGGTCTAACTCCCAATCAATAAAGCAGTTGCTGCACAACCAGGAAGCCCCCAGTTTAACTCTCAAACACACCATTTATTCATTTCAGGAGTATTTTAGCTTCTCTTTCACTCATAAAGGACTCAAGGCAACTATTAGTGGCAACAGATAAGAAACACCCTAAGCGAGAGACAGTGTGGTGTAGTGGCTACAGTGTTGGAATAGGATCTGGGAGGCCAGCGTTTGAATCCCCCTTCTGTCAAGGACGCTTGTTGGGTGACCTTGGACTGTTTCTCTGAGCCTAACCTTGTCCGGGTTGTTGTCCTGAAGATAAATAGAGGAGAGAGGAAACGATACTGTAAGCCACTTTGTCCATGACTTGGACAGCCCAGGCTTGCCTGATCTTGGAGGCTAAGCAGGATCAGCCCTGGTTAGTATTTGGATGGGAGGCCACCACCAAGGAAGTCCAGCGTTGCTATGCAAAGGCAGGCAAGGGCAAATCACCTCTGAACATTCCTTGCCTTGAAAACCCTACGGGGTCGCCATAAATTGGCTGTGGCTACCACTGCCCAGAAATGGAGCCGCCACCAGGAAAATTTAAGGCTTTCCACACCTTTATACTAATATATTTCTTCTTCTGGTTTTGGTATTGTGACCCAGGGTCTGGGCTTTCGAAGGACTATGTGTTTCCTGGGAAGAATTTCGTTCAGAACTTGTCTTAAATAAAAGTAGATTTATTTGATGTTCACACACTCTTCCCTCTTATTGACAGGGACCAGGGCATGTCACTTTGTAACAATATTTTCCTTAGGCCATATATGGTTACTGTTTCTTTATGCTTTAACTTTTCATAACACACACAAGACTTCTCTCTCTCAGACCTTAAAACGAACAAACTGCTTAACTCTTTTACTACACAGAACCCAATCTTTCCCTCACAGGGATGAGTCTCCTTCAACTCAGAGACAGAACTTAACTCATAGCAACTGCTTTTACACAGCACACTCTTCTGACCGACTAACTGTTTTACTGTTAAACCTTAACTGTCATTTCTCCAACAGTCACTCCTGATAGACATTCAAATCATCTACACTGCATCCATTCCAAAACCCCTCCCCCTCTCTGTCACTCACCAATCATACCACTTGCCTGCTTCCAGCACTCTAGAATATCACAGCCATGCAAACTAAACTTTTAAAGATGCACACACACATAAACATGAAATCGTTACAGGGACCCTCCAAAAAGATGCCTCCAATGGACTATCGACATTTTTCTTCGTATAAAAGACCCAATTGTCATTGTATAA